TCGCGGGGCCGCCTTGTCCCGAGCGCTCAGCCCCCCCCCCAGTGTGGACCGTGGGCATCTTCTCCGTAGGCCTGCCCTTCATCTCTGAAAGGGGTAGCCATGTCCCGTGTCCGGTGGAGCTGGGGGAGGATTAGGTGAGAGGACCACGAGGGACGGGCACAGGCTCGTGGGGCGGCGAGGGAGGAGGGAACCCAGGAGCGCTTCCCAGAGATTCGGGGGGACCAGGGAGCCCTCACGGAGAGGCGGGGACCTGTCAGAGGGCTGCACACGGCTCCCGCATGAGTCCTGGTCTGCGGTGGCATGGCTCCCTTCGCACAGACAGAGCCTGAGGCTCAGGGAGCCCTCACGGAGAGGCGGGGACCTGTCAGAGGGCTGCACACGGCTCCCGCATGAGTCCTGGTCTGCGGTGGCATGGCTCCCTTCGCACAGACAGAGCCTGAGGCTCAGGCACTTGTCCACGGCACGTGGGGCTGAGCAAGTCTGGGGCTCAGGTCCCGTTCTCCGTCCGCCCCTCCAGACTTGCAGCAGCCGGAGCACTGTGGGAGCAGTGACAGGACTGTAGGCAGGTCCTGCCCCAGGGAACAGGGAGGGGTCTGGGCCCAAGGGAGCAACAAGCCATACTATGGGACCTGTGGGTGGTCTCGAACCTTGTCCCACAGAAGGAACGCTGGGCCAGCTCAGTGTAAGGAGGGGCCAGGCGGTCCCATTGCGGCAGTCCTTGGGGCCCCTCCACTAGCAAGAACCCGCACGGCAGAGCCAGCAGGTAACACGGTGGTAAGGGCACAGACTCCCGCATGGCTGACTATGGTTCAAGTCCCGGACCTGGCAGCTTGCTTTCTCATTTTCTATGTCTTCTCTCTCTGCCTCTCTCTGGAGAGTGCACTTCCTCTCTAACAAATTAAAATACTTCTAATAATTAATGAAATTAAGTAATTATTTTTTTAAAGAAGCTACACATCTCCAGAAAGAAAGTTTTGTGGGCTCTGTCTATGGCTGAGGTGTTTCTGCTGCGTCCTTGGCTGTGGGTCTGGACCCCTGGCCTTGGCACGCGAAGTCCCCTCATCCCCGGGCTGCCCCGTGTGCCCGGCCACCCTAACCCCGCTCTCCCCGTCCCGCAG